CTAATTGTCAGCCTCTTACATGTATGATTCTCAAAAACAATTATGCATATGCATATCAACAGCCTTTTAATTAACAGAGTAGAATAATAATGGCTGATGGTAAGACATGCAAACGTAAAAGAAAACCAAACTGGATGCAAGAACAGCTGTTACTTCTTGCCCAACTGGTTAATGAAAACAAGGATATAGTCAAAGGAAAATTTGTAGTTGGGATAACCTCCAAAACCAAAGGTGATACCTTTTTAAGCGCTCATTTATCGTCAAACATTTCTAAAATGTTTATATTCTGAGGCAGATGGCTGGCAACAGCCATTTTAGGAATAGTTTGTGGCTTGGTCTTAGTCCTCTTCACTACTCCTAACGTTTCACAGATTTAGGAGCTAGTTTTAGTGCTAAAACACTTTGTGAAATACTTTTAGATTAAATATTTTGGAGTCCTAAATTTAGGACTGACACGCCCATTATTTTTAAGATTTACTCCTAAAGCAGCGAGTTATGAGCTACTTTTAGCCTTAAGATGTTTTGTGAATACGGGCCCTGTTGTTCGAGCACGTCCTGTGTCTGTTTGCCTCTTTAAGAAGAATCGCTTTATGTATTCCCCAATTGTAAGTCGCTTTGGACTAAAGCGTCTGCCAAAATGACTAAATGTAAATATAGATGTAAAACACACTAGTGTCAGTGCCATTTACATAAAACTTAAAAGACAATCATGCTGGACGCACCATGCTGTTAACGCTAACCTGGAAATTAACAACTTGTCAAATGGACTGCAGGTGGCAGTATAACATCTGCTAAATTGAAATGATCTGGCCACAATACTCAGTGAATCCTTCACCCCTCTTCACTGTGACGGAAACCCCCCAAAAGACCAGAATAAGGTCAGAGCCCACTCTGAATGAAGGCTATTGTAAATCCAGCGGACATTGAAACTAAGAAAAAAAGTGAAATTGAAACTGAAACCGAATTTACCCTTTTGTTCTGGGTGTTTCCACAAGGGGTTTCCAGGGAATCATTTATATGCAGATCAGTGAAGCACCATGTCAAGGGAAAAAAGGTACTAACTATACTAAAAAGTTAAAGGAATTTTATGCATTTTCCACGGGCATTTCCATGTAGCATTCAAATTGGATTATTGGCCATGCTTTAAATTGTTTTAACATATGGTTTATTTATTGTATAAATATAAATGCTTGTCATGCAACAGCACAAAATACACTGCAGTCAAAAGTCTGGGTGAGTTTAAGTTTCTCATGATCTTAAAAACAAACATTTTTAAATGAACTACACAGACAAATATAAGTTGTGCCTAGCTATAATCAGACCTAAATGAAGAGCAGCAAACAAGTGCCCGGCATATATCAGAAATCCTTCAGTACTATAAAGGCAGCCACTTTAAATATAAAATATAAGATAAGTTTAAGGTACAATATAAAATAATATTGAATAATAATATTGTTTAAAATAGTTTTAAGAATAGACAATATATGATTTTTTGATCACTGCATTTCCCATTTGCAATTGCATTGCAATTCTTCCATTTAATGAATTCATTATTATTCTAAAATATGTGGTAATAGTAAGTAATGAGTATGTGTGTCCAGACTTTTGACTGTACTGTATATACTGTACTGTATATTTATCATTTCAAAAAGTCAACTGTTGTATCTGTCTCAATGCCACAAAAAAAATCAACTGGTGGCACTAAAGCCAGTCAACAGCACGGACTCCACACTCACACTTCCCCGTTATAATTAAACAAAGATTCCTTTCAGTGATACAGTCAGTGTTGAGGGAGGCTCTGTTGAGTCACAGTAAATAGGCAAGACAATGTTGTTTAGAACAACTGGAGCGGAAGAATTTCATCAAGGCTGATGACACTAGTAATGAAGGGCTGATGGGAACAGTGAGGATGAGACAACACTGACTCATTACATATCAGAACTTATTGAGCACAGCCACCAAGATGATGTATTGCCATAATACATGACTGATACATCAGAGAAAGGAGGTTTTTAGATCTATTTTTTATCATACAATAGCTCTCAGTTTGAGACCCTGCTATGTGTATGAAAGAGTCATTATTAGCTTCACATTATGTATTTGTACATTATGTATATGCATTAATTTCCTTTAGCCTGCAGATAACCAGACAAATCACTAGGATTTTTTATTAATACCAAGTTAAAGGATAGTTCACCCAAAAATGACAATTACTCGATTAACCCTCAAGCCATCCTGCGTACTGTAGGTGTTTATGACATTCTTTTTTCAGACAAATACAATCAAAGTTATATTTAAAAAATGTCCTGGCTCTTCCAAGCGTTATAATGGCAGTGAATAGGGTTTAAGATTTTGATGTCCAATAAAAGTGCCTCCATCCATCATAAAAAGTGCTCCTCCATCCGGTCCGAGACTAAAATATGCTAGTCTCGCGAGAACCATGTTTTGCGTAGGCCTACAGCAAAGGAAAACCAGTCTCCTTTTGCCTTATATTGAAATTTTCCAGCATTTTTCTTTGCAAATCCTGGTTTTGTACTTCTAATTTGTGACCAGTGTTTTGTTTTGCTCTTTACACTGCGCTTCCGCGTTCATCACTTCCACGTTCGTCACCGCATTCGCATACGACCTAAATCATCTGTTGGAATGCCACTCTCTGGTGTACGAACATACGACAGTTAGTGGAAGCTAGAGATTGTTTTATAAAGTTTTAAATATGGATATTTTTCTTACAAAAATGCATTGATTCACTTCAGAAGGCCTACCCTCCTGAGCCGCGTGGAGCATTTTTATCATGGAATTATGCATTTTTATTGGACTTCAAAATCTTAAACCCCATTCACTGCAATTATAAAGCTTGGAAGAGCCAGGGCATTTTTAAATATAACTCCAAATGTATTTGTCTGAAAGAAGAAAGCCATATTCACCTAGGATGGTTTGAGGGTGAGTAAATCACAGGATAATTTTCATTTTTGGGTGAATTATCCCTTTAAGAAGAACAACAATTATTTAGAACATTGTGAATGCAAATGTCACTTTTGATTAATTTAATGTCTTCTTGCTGAAAAAAAGTATTATATCCTTCAAAAAAAAGATTGTAAGACTAATGCTTATATTTAGAAAAAATAAATACAATTTCGTAAAAGTCCGTTAAATGCTGTTAACATTTATATGCTATAGTTTAAGTATAATAAAATGTAAAGTATATCAAATACAGTATATAAAATAAAAAATAAAAGTATGTGATGTGTTACCATTTAAAGGAGACATATTATACCCCTTTTTACAATATGTAATATAAGTCTCTGGTGTCCCCAGAATGTGTCTGAGAAGTTTCAGCTCAAAATACTCCACAGATCATTTATTATATCATTTTGAAAATGCCTATTTTGAGTGGAAGCAGAAACACGCTGTTTTTCGGCCGTTTCTTTAAATTCAAATGAGCTGCTGCTCCCCGCCCCCTTTTCCAGAATAGAGCTGCGCCATTACAGCTCAGACCTGCTAAAAAACATCTGTTTTGGTTCTGACTATCATGTTTATGGCGCTTAAATCATGCATTTTAAACCATATGAATTTAAACTTCTGATATACAGTTTTCTGAGAGCACACATCCGAAGCACACGGACAGAAAGCGGCTGTCACAGCATGTGAGTACTAAACTAAATTCTCATTCACACACAAGTTTACGTTAAAAACACACAGGAGTTACAAAAAACAGTCGTTATGTCTGTGAAGGTAAACAGCTGGGAAATAAATTGCATGTTTATTTTAGATCTGTGTGGCATCAGCAATATACAGTAAATAATTTATTATTATTGTCTCCTGTCTCCTCTGAGGCTGGGACTCGAAATAGTGTTCTTTGCTCGTCTGTGCAGCCAAAGACAGAACAGTTAGCAAGTTTTGCTCAAACTTTAGCCATGAGATAAGTGCTGGTACACCGTTGTCGCTTGCGAAATGAAAATGACAGCACCGTGGGTGGAAATTTACAGATTAAGGGGCGGTAATATTATAATGAGATCCCTTTGCCACGTCACCAAGGGAGCGGCTTCCCAAAACAAAGCTACTGGGTTAATCTTTTTCACGTTTCCTTGGTTGGTAGATGCCCCGGGGACCTGATTATAGCACTTAAAACCTGGAAAAGTCATATTTTCATGATATGTCACCTTTAAATATGTTTCAGTATGCCCATGTACATTGTAATTTACTCTAGTGATCACATTTTGTTCCAAGGAGAAAGGACCGTCCTGAGCTGAGATACTGAGGCTTCTCTAAACATCTATATAACCAAAATTTGTTTATGGCCATGATACATAGCCACTGCGGTTAAGTAAAATAAAACTAAATAAAAATATACATAGAGGTAATCAATCAAAAATAGGAAAATTACAAATGGTCAAGATGGATTGTTCTTGGACCCTATGTGTAAATGTGTATATTCATTTGCGAAGTGTAACAATGAGGGTCGTGTAGGCAAGGTCGGATCCAATTGCAGACTTTCATTCAAACAAAGAGCGTAGTCAGACAGGCAAAGGTCATACACCAGCAAACAGTGTCCAGAGGGCAAGGCAAGAGAATAATCCAACACAGGCAATAGATAAAGGTAAGCAGCAAATGATCAGAGGCGATATAAACAGGCTAGGGTCAGAACAACAAGACTAGGAAACAGGATACTAGGAAGCACTTGGTATGGCAGCTAGGCTAATCAATACTGAGCACCTGGATGTGAGTGAGTGCAACCTTTATAGTGTCCGGGTTATTGGAAACAGGTGAGGGTGTAATCAGAGGGGATCTTGGGAAATGGAGTCCAGGGTGAAAGTCTGAGTGGCGTGTGTGGCAACCTCTGGTGGAGAGCAGGGAACGGATCGTGACACGAAGACTGTAAAAGAATAATATCAATGAGTTTTTATTTGCAACTGAAACAAGGCACACAGGTGGTATACTGTCCGATGAGTACTGTTGAGAAGAAGGAGGGGACTCTTGAGTGCAGTGTGCCTCTGTTTTCACTCAAAGACCCTTCGATCCTACACACATCTGAGCTCGAAAGGCTGGTCTTCAGGTTTAGGAGAGCAAGAACATGCTGCTCACTAGTGAAGAATGACAACAAAGTTAAATGACAAGAACATTGATGAAACGACACACACACTGTAAGACCGATTATCAAATTCTAATCTCTAAAATTCTAAATAAAATTTTAAAAAAAATCATACTGCTAATGCTATCCATACTGGAATGTCTAAAATGGTATTTGTATACCATTATAATTTGTAGTACTTATATGTGAAAAAAAAACAAGACAATTGAGATAATTCAGATAAAAATGATCACTCTGGTCAGTCAGGTCAACGAGTGGTTTTGATTGTGGCCTGTATCTGCCTCTTGGGTTAAACTACTGCATCTTGCCAGCTGTTATCTAACAGACTCACCTAATGTCAGGATAGTCTCTTGCCAGAATAACTATCTTTATAGCTGTAAACTCCCAATATCCTGTAATCTCAGAATCTCTGATAATTTGGGCAGTATTTGACAGAGCCATTCCTCTCTGGATCCCTAGAGAAAAGAATGGTACTTGATTTAGAAAACTTGATTTTTTTAGTCTTTTGAGATTTTAATCTATATATTTGCAGTGGTTCTTTGCCACTCTTACATTCTGCATTCCCACAATTCATTATGCTATTATAAAGACAATAATGCAAAAAGAATGCATTGATAAAGTCCATATTTAGTCTGTGACTCAATATCATATTGTCACAGTACAGAAGGAGACCAGGGACGGAGAGGTAAAGTAAACAGAGAGCTTTATTGAACAGGTGCTGGGAGAGAGAGAGAGATGGAGAGCAAACGGGTTAGAGCAACAGTCTATGGAATGGAAGGGATCGGGCTCACGTGATGAAGGGTTCCTTTGTGGATCGGGCTGAAGAGGAGGGCACAGAGACAGGAAGGTATCAGGATGGAGTCCGGGTTCAGTGAGCGGCTGATTAGTACTCCAGTGATTGTGAACGGGTGTGTGAGATGATTAGGCCTGACAAGGCTGGACTCTCCCTGACAGTATCCCCCCCACGGGCGGCTCCCGACGCCCGCTGCCGACGTTGAGGACGGCTGCGGCTCCGGAGAGCGGGACGATCTGGGTGACGATCATGGAAGTCACTGAGGAGTAAGGGATCTAGCACATCATCTCTACGAACCCATGATCTCTCTTCGGGGCCGAATCCCTCCCAATCCACGAGATACTCTAGGCGGCCGCCTCGACGCCGGCAGTCTAGAAGTGAATTGACTCTGTAGATGGTCTCCTCTGCCACGATTTCGGGAGGAGGTACGCCGGATTCGTCAGGCCCTGGGGAAGAAGCAGACATAGGGTGAACACAGGGTTTGAGCAGTGAGACATGGAAGGTAGGTGCGATGCGGTAGTGAGGAGGAACCAGCGGAGCTGGTTCGGAGTGGGTGGCCTGGCGGATCTCTTCATCGAGCGTCCATTGAATGGAACCCACAATGAGGGCTGGAGGGAGAATGGTCTCCGGGGGTATTACCCGTTCGGTGGCCTGAGGAAGGCGTGACAGAGCATCTGCTCAGGTGTTTTTGGGTCCGGGACGGTAGGTAACAGTGAACTGGAAACGGGTGAAGAACAGCGCCCACTGTGCCTGACGGGGGTTGAGGCGTTTGGCCTCCCGAAGATATTCCAGGTTTCGGTGGTCAGTGATGACCTGGAAGGGATGACAAGCTCCCTCCAGCCAATGTCTCCACTCCTCCAGCGCGAGCTTGATGGCGAGAAGCTCGCGGTTCCCAATGTCATAATTCTGCTCCGCCGGGGAAAGCTTGCCGGAGAAGTATGCACAGGGATGGAGGCTGGGAGGCTCTCCAGACTGCTGGGAGAGCACCGCTCCTACTCCTACGGTGGAAGCGTCTACTTCCACGACAAATGGTTTCTGAGGATCAGGCAGCGCGAGGGTATGAGCGGTGCAGAAGTCTTCCTTCAATTCCTCAAAACTTTGGAGGGCTGCGGGCGTCCAGGACACCAGTGGTGAATGGCTTGGATTTTTTTGTCATCCATCTGGATGCCCTGAGCACTGATGACATATCCGAGGAACTTGACGGTGGTAAGGTGGAACTCGCACTTCTCCAGCTTGAGATAGAGGTGGAATGCCGAAGTTGCGAAAGACTTGGTGGAATAACTGTGTAGCGGTTTTCATGGCCGTGGGTAATTTTCTGAGGGGGAGAAGTTTACATCCTTTTGAGAATCAATCCCGCGGTGTCGTCAAATATCACCATTTGAAGGCTAATGTCTGCGTTCAGCCCTTGCCGGAACGCAGTCTGTAAGGCCACTTCGTCCCATCCACTCGCCACCGCTAGAGTGCGTAATTTAATGGCATACTCGCTCACGGAGGCCTTGCCTTGACGGATACGGAAGAGCTGGTCATGCACGGATATCTCAGCCGCGGTGTGACTAAACACCTCCTTGAAGTGGGCGGTGAACGTAGATAGAGTGCGAAGGGCCTGACAGTTACTTTCCCACATAGACTGGGCCCAATGAAGAGCGCGGCCGGCGAGATGAGAGCTCATGAAGGCCACCTCGACGCGGTCATTGGGAAAGGCTTGTGACTGCATCTCGAAGTATAGCGAACATTGTAATAAGAAGCCACCACAATCCGCCGCCTCACCGGAGAAGATAGCGGGCCGTGCCATGGGACTGTGGGAGGCAGATACAACGGGCGTACGGATGGCGTGGATTAAATCCTCCAGTGATGGGGGGGTTCGGTGGTTGTGGCTCCATAAAGTGGGTAAGTTGTGGTCTGGTCTTCTGTCACAGTACAGAAGGAGACCAGGGACGGAGAGGTAAAGTAAACAGAGAGCTTTATTGAACAGGTGCTGGGAGAGAGAGAGAGATGGAGAGCAAACGGGTTAGAGCAACAGTCTATGGAATGGAAGGGATCGGGCTCACGTGATGAAGGGTTCCTTTGTGGATCGGGCTGAAGAGGAGGGCACAGAGACTGGAAGGTATCAGGATGGAGTCCGGGTTCAGTGAGTCAGATAAGGAGTAGCATAGTGAACTCAAGACCAGACGAAGTGTGATTGCCGTGACTGTGCATTTAAGCTAGTGCTGATGAGGTGGTGACAGGTGCGGCTGATTAGTACTCCGGTGATTGTGAACGGGTGTGTGAGATGATTGGGCCTGACGAGGCTGGACTCTCCCAGACAGATATTGTGTCTACAACAATAATTCCAGACTACTGTATGTTATTGGCAGCATGTCAAGCACACAAATGTTTTTGATTATCTAAACCATTGTAACCAATAAACCTTAAAATAGGCCTATAAAATAACCTTTAAGCAGGGTTCAGCTTCACCAATAGGGAGATTTGGGAACTGTGATTAAACACATACACAAATATGATTCCTTTTTATTTTTGTTTTTCTAAATTAGATACTTTAAAAGTATGATTCAGAGAAACAGAAATAGAAGAGAGAAACTGGAGGTTTCTGAGATTCCAAAACATAATGACAACCATGTGTTCCTATACGAGTCAGGAATTCCTGTGGTTTGTTCCAGGAAGAAAGCTGGGAGAAAATATGATGTGTATTTGTACTCTATTCAAATGCGAATGAAAATCTGCTTGTGGAGTATTTTGCATGTTTTGTTCACATGAGAGTGTACAGTATGTTCATATGCATGTGTGGGTCTGTATGTGATCTCACCACTTTGGCAAACACAGAACAGATTTTATTGCTGTCGTGGCAGATGAACTCAGCAGCTGCTTCTCTTTGCCTTTCAGTTTCAGATTTCTCTTCATCATTCGCCTCACATACTCAACCATTACTTCTACATGCAGCTCAGCCAGTAGCTCCTATAAACACACAGACACACACTTCATATATTTATAATTGTATCTTAAAACAATAAAAAAAAAACATGTTATAGAAACCAAAGTAAGATTACACATCTATTAACATCACATCACATAATAATTTGCTGCAAATCGGTTCTGACCGCTCTGCAGACAGGCTTTAGCTCTTTGAAGTTGTCTATGTTATTCTCAAGCACCTTCACCAGCTCCTCCACAACCTCACAATGTCAGCAAACCAAACTTGAGTCCACAGTTTATGGTACAGTGGCTGTGCAGATAAACAAGTCTGGTTATTTCAAATTTTGTAATTTATGAAATTAATAGTAAAAGAAGCATCAAACATGAAAGTAAAGCGCATTGTTATTTATGCAAGTACAATAGGACAGACGTGTTGGCCCTGGAACAACATTCCTATAACACAATCAAATGCCAAGCACTTTTATTAACCCTAACTCTAACAATTGAATGGTAAATGTTGATTCAGTAAATACTTGGTTGAATCAAAGTTAAATTGCTGACCTTGTAATTATCATATATAATCTACTCTAAACACTTCAAAGAAAACATATTGGAGCGCTACTTGCTGAAAGGACCTCCGTTTAATAGTCCCAGAAGGTGCTCTTTGGTTGGGTTCAAAATTATATCTCTAGAAACTATGGATCCAAGGCACTTCTTACAGTTCCAGTACTTGAGTATCTTTTCGGGTACTTTGTAGTTGTACTGAGTATCAAAGATATTAGCAACTTTTACTCTTCACTTCACTACATTTTTGAATGAGTATCTGTACTCTTTACTCAGGGTTAAGATATTTAACTTTTTTTTTTTTACCAATTATCCATATAATGTTTACTCCTAGAAAGCTATTATTATCAGAGAACACGTGAGCATAACATAACGGTTAGCAGATCAATGAATGAGAGGGCAGGTTACCAGAGTTACCCATATACCACACCATGTTACAACAAGTATTTGTGAATCACAGATATTTTATATATGAGATGAGGACATGACTGCAGTGCAATAAGGCCCAAACCAGCACAGCCACTGCAAGAAGGCTTCGGCTTTTTAATTTTACTTAACATTATTTTATTTATCCATTATACTGAAGAGATCTTTTTGAAAGATATTGTTTGTTTGTTTTGTTTTGTAATTTGGAGGTGTTCAGTTTTATTTTGGTTTTAGAAAATAAACGTGATCGCTCTCCTCACAAATCAACTCTTTCTTGTTTTTGTTTCATGTTCTCTGTGCCTTGCCCTGGACTTTTATGCCACTTCCTGTCTCCCGTGGTGTTTGTAGTCAGTTTGTAGTCCGTTTGTTTATTGGTTCCCCTTGATTAGTCTCCTCAGGTGTGTCTTATCTTGTTAAGGCCTGTTCACACCAAGCACAATAACTATAAAGATAAAGATATAGTTCTAAAAATAGTTCTCAATATTAAAAAATAGAAGACTCCACACCTGGACTTTTATGTCACTTCCTGTCTCCCGTGTTGTTTGTAGTCAGTTTGTAGTCTGTTTGTTCATTGGTTGCCCTTGATTAGTCCCCCCAGGTGTGTCTTATCTTGTTAAGCTTGTTAGCCCCCTGTGTGTATATATAGCCCTAGTTTTTCTTTAGCTCTTTGTGAGTTGTTGAATGTAATGGTTGTCTGTTTGTCAGTCATTCTGTTCTTTGTTCCCTTTGGTTTTTGCCTTATTGTTTGTTCTAGTTTTTCCATGAAATACCAGCACATAGATCCTTGCCTCTGCCTTTTTCCCCAGCTTCTCCACAACATTACAGTTTTTCACTGGCAAATCTCTTTGACTATATGGTTTTTAGGTACTCTTTACACCTCTGGGTGAGACCCTTGAGCAAGGCACTGAACCCCCAACTGCTCCTTGGGCGCCACAGCAAAAATTGCTGCCCACTGCTCTCATGCTCTGGGTTTGTGTTCACTGTTGTGTGTGTGTGCACTTGGATGGGTAAATGCAGAGCACAAATTCCGAGTATGGGACATCATACTTGGCTACACATCACTTTCACTTTAATTGAAAGATGATAGTCCGTTATGCCACATTAAGCATTTTGCGTTATGGGAGGAAAAGTTAAAGTTTGTGCATTTCATTCATATTCAATCTCCTTGCCTTATAGTACATTTTATTTTGCAAGTGTTATTGTAATCTTTTTCCTTGTCTTCACCACCTGGTTACTGTTGTAAAATGTTGAGATATTTTATTAAAAAAAGATTGCAAGTGACGTCACTTGTGCAATGTTCAGTCTAAGAGTGCACGTGCATGTCTGCAGCCAGAACCTTAGGGGATGTTGAAAGGTGGGACTAGGATACACAATTGACCGACGGCATAGCATCATAAACAAATCCTTCCTAACATAAAATATTAATCTAAATACCAGAAATAAGTATTAGTTAAACTCTCCATCTCACTATACTCGCTTCCTTACATTTTACTGGAACTTGAGTTTATACTGCAGTCTGATGCAAACAACATTTTACCATTAACACTGAAAAACACAATAGCAAACTTTCATTAGCCAAAATGTCAGGAGAATAATTTATTAAGAGAACTGAATGAGATCAAAATGTTTTGCCTTTCTTGTGTTAAAATGTAAAATGATGTAAAATAAATGAACCAGTTTTATGGTTTTTGTTAAAGTGATACAATTCAGTTTCGAGTTGCAATAATGGATCTTTGTTTTTGACAAATGTAAACATTTTATTCAGCTACTATAGGTAAATGAAAGACACCTACATTGACAGCAAAGGTAAAAAAAAAGGCTATTTTCTGAGCAGCTCTGATTCTCTTTAGTTTAAAATGACATTTACTGTACTTACTCTATTGTGCATTGTGAATCAAGGCGTTCTGCATAATCATTAAGTGAAACATTAAGTGCATTATATCAGAATGTTTAAATAATTTTTTTAAATAAACGTTTATTTTCAGAGCCGTGAACATGCATTCAAATAAAGCTAAAACACTTTATATTAGAATAAATATATTTATACCTTTTTCCATTTGATTTTACCATTTAGACTGTTGGCATTTCACAGGTTTTCTCAACTGGTTTTACACAAATTCAGTGCTCTAAAAAACTTAGCCATATTAAAAAATGCTATTGATTAAATACAACTTTCAAAATACACTGTTCTCGACCTTAATTTTAGAGAACAGTGTAAAATCAGTTGAGAAAAACTGTAACAATAATATTTACATATACAGAGTTTTTGTAATAATACATATTACATAAAATAATACTGATTATACTGTGCGTCCCCCGCTGGGATAGACTCCAACCCCGACCATGCAGAAGACATGGAAAATGGATATGGATGGATAATACTGATTTTGTATCACAGTACTGTATGTTTCATAGTTGTTTAACATTAGCAATTAATAGTAACGGAATTCAGATGACTTTCCATATGACGAGTACTTCTAGAGAATGTAAAATCAGAATAAAATCGTGAGTTTCCTTAATAATAAACATATTACATAACAATACTGATTATCTATTACAGTGTGAATCACAGTTGTTTCACATTAGCTATAGATGTAACAGGGCATTCAGATGATTTTCCGTTTGACGAGTACTTTAGAAAAGAAGGAAGTAGAGGACTCTGTGTCCAGTGTGCCTCTGTTTTCACTCAGACACACTTTGATCCTGCGCAGATCTGAGCTTGAAAGGTTGGTCTTCAGGGTTAGGAGAGCAAGAACATGCTGCTTACTAGTGAAGAATGACAACAAAGAACATTGATGAAACAAGGCGTACACACACTGTAAGATTAATAATCAAATTCTAAACTCATCTTTCATTTGGCTAATGGCAAAACTGTAGATATTTGTATAAAGAATGAGACTGAAAATAAGATATCTTACTATAGTTGCTTTCTCTAAGGTAAAATAACTGCATCTTGCCAGCTGCTATCTAACAGACTCACCTAACGTCAGGATAGTCTCTTGCCAGAGTAACTATCTCAAGTTGCAAACTCCCAGGATCCTGCAGTCTCAGAATCTCTGATAATTTTGGCAGTATTTGACCGAGCCATTCCTCTCTGGATCCCTAGGGAAGAGAATGGTACTCAGTTTTAATGTTACATCATAATTTCCCTTGCTTTCCCACAATTCAAGCAAAGAGAACAATGTAAAGAATACATTGAATAGAGCCATATTTTGTCTGTGACTCAATGTCATATTGTGTTTAAAATAATAGTACTACACTACTGTATGTTCCTGTCAGCATATCAAACACAAATGTTTTCAATTTTCCAAACTATTTTAACTCTTAATTAACCCTACAACACTCTAAGCCTCTGGGGCTTTAATTATTGTTGTAAGTTTCCCAATGTGAACAGCTATGATAAAAACATATTTACATTAAAACTTTGTTAAAATAACTAAATAGAGATAAAACAATGATCAAGGGAATAGTTCACGCAAAAATGAAAATGTAACGAAAATTTGCTCACCATGAATCCTCTGCAGTGAATGTAATTTTAAATAATTTCTTCTGATCAAAATATGAGTCCATAATTCATCATAACACTTCCTCCAGTGAAAAGGTCCATCCCTTGTCATCCTCTCAAAGTCCATTGACATATTTGTTTAGAACTGTTTAGGACTGTTTTCACTTGTAAATGGTGCTTGATCCGTGCATATTTCTCTCCTGATTCAGTTGAGAAAGCAATATTATGGATAGAGGACTCTTTTTTTTTAGCCTGGTTTGAAGTTAAAATGCCTTAATGATGAATTTGTTTATTACAAACATGCAGCCTTTCGCTTTACAAGACATTAATAGATTTTTTTTTATCAGCTGTTTGGACTCTCATTCTGACGGCACCCATCCACTGCAGAGGATCCATTGATGAATATGATATGTAATGCTAAATTTCTCAAAAAATCTATATGAAAGTATGTTCATATGCATACATGTGCGGGTCTGTATGTGATCTCACCACTTTGGCAAACACAGAGCAGATTTTATTGCTGTCGTGGCAGATG